AAATCAGTGCGCCCCCTCACTCCTAGCCGCTCGTGACAGCAGGAGCGGCATTGCTAGGCGCTAGCTGCCTCTGGAGGATAGCCGCTGTTGTCGGGTTCACATCTACTCGGACCGAGGCTTGCATTGCCAACTCTTTCACTCCCTCCAAACTACCATTCCCCGTTCATTCCCTTTTTCAATGACTGCCCCAGCCCATAACTCCCTCGTAATCATCCTGCACGGTCGGTTCACAAGTCTCTCACCCCGTGCCAGGCTGGGAAGGGGCAGCGCTGCCACGCGCCAGCTGGCTTTGGTGGACGGGAAACCAGCTACTGGTGCGGGGTCCATTCCCAGCTAGACTGAAGCTTCTTGTCTCGTAGAAGAAGGTGCGTTCCTTATAGCCCTGCAAGGTCGCTTGACAAATGCTGTTGCATGGTGATGGCTCGGGCCAAGCTGAATCCTGCATTGCCAACTCTCTATTGCGTGACAGGGTACAGAGTTGGCTCCACTGACCGGGGACTCCAACTAGCAGGACACCCTGCCTCTGCTCTGCTACGGTGAGTAAGGGGCCTCACTGCCCAGCGCCAGGGGCCTCTGGTGGATCACGAGACAGGTTCTGCTGCGAGGGCAGCGTCAATCAGGCCGAGGCCAGCTTTGCCATCTCCAAGGTATGCACTATCACCCTCCTTTCTCCCTAATATTGAGTGCCCCCTTACTCTTCCTCCGTGTAGCATCATTGCTACTGGGGGGGTAGCGCTGGACGTGCCAGATAGCTCTTATGGACGGCAAGGCCACTGCTGCTGCCGGGTTCGCTACTGCTACCCGGCTGAGGTGTGTAGTGCAGTGCCAGCTCTCTGTCTCTCTCTAAGGTACGACTGCCAGCATACTCACCTGAGAATATCAAGTGCTAGTTTCACACTGCACTGTCGCTGTCACTTGCATCCTCCAAGTGCCTTTCATACCCATGAACCTATAGGCCGAGACCAGCATGGCTGGCATGGAAAGTGAGGGTGGCAACATTGGGCGTGGCGTTGGTGCTTCTGAAGAGGCTTGTGCAGCTGGTACAACGGACATTGAAGTGGCGCGGCGCTTGAACGAGTCGCTGTCCAAACGAAAGATCAATCTCAGTTGTCATTTGACCCCGCCGTGGGCCATCTTACGCTGTGGGCTAGCAAGCCTTATGGGTGGTGGTTCGGTGCCTAGGGACAGTGACATGATACTATTGTTCATCGAAGCTGCGCCGACGCTTGTCGATCGTCTACTTGAAGCAGCAACTGTAGCAGGTATGAAGCTATTTACACTTTTAAGGTGAATTGGGGTTTCTTTGTGTTTTTTAATCTCAACGTCATGTACACTCGGGTGTAGGGGAGTGGGAAGATGGCATCAAGACAGCATTTACGGCGGGTATGGATGCCCATGCAGCAATAGTGCGTGTGAAGAAGGGAGGGCATGGATTGCCCACTGTCAGGGAGCTTCTCACCCTCCATGCAACACCAGTTCATGGATTGGTCTATAGCTTTGTCCCACTGCAAGAGGAGCAGAGTGCAGGCAACAACGTTTCAAAGTTCCAATGGGGTGGCAGTAGATAAGGTGCAGCCTATCAGGCCCTCATATCATCAGTTATTATGCCCTTCTCCTTACGGTCAATGCTGTCTCTATCACACATATTTGTCTCGGGAAACATTCTCCATTCTCCAACTCCATGTCAACCACTCACTCATCTTCATATGTGCAGTGCCGAGGACATTTCAAAGTAGGGCGCGGTCAAAATACGTTGGTCCTCGACCTCGCGTTACAACACGTTTGGGCACACTTCGAGAACATGGTCCGGGTCTTGAGCACGAGCATCCATGCCAAGGGACCGTGGATGAAGATGTCGACGTGCAGCGTGTGGACTTAGTGACAGGGGGATCGGAGGAGGCACCAGATCGGGTTCCGAGGCGAAGGTCGGGGAGTGCCGCGATGACTGATAGAGGCGGGGGTGGAAGTAACAGGGAGGAACCTGAAGACGGAATTTCAGGCTTGGGGGTCATAGGGGTTTCTCAAGTGCCGGCAGGCGTGGATGTCGCGACAACCAGGGTTGTAGATTCGTCACCAGCGTTGCCACTTGCCGCACCGCCTACCAAGTGAGATATGTTGGGTGGCTGTCGCGTGATGCAACTAACATATATCTATTTGGGGTGCACAGTTCGTGTGAACGCAGAAGTCATTGCACATGCAATTGTGTATCATTGCTCCCCTCATACCCATCAGTGAGGATTTACAGCATCAGAATTTTGGGTGTGGAGTCCCGCAAGGCTGGTCACATTCTCCGACCCTATCCGAATCTAGTAAGGGAAATATGTGCTACATGGATACTGTATGGTTTATACGATTGATGCTGCACTTCTCACTTCAGTGCACCGCTGGTAGTGCGTGTGGAGGAACGATGCTCTTACAGTCATGGAAGAGGACGTTAGGGACGTTTGGCTTGTTGTGGGAAGCCTACGGTGTAGGCGCACCGAGGTCTGGTGGACTTGCGACCGCGAACCAGATGTTGGTCATGAGTAAAAAAAGGGTCCAAAGATGCCTTGGCTCACATGGACGGTGATGGGGGCTTATGTGATAAGTGGTTGTAGATACCAGACTTTAGAGTCGGTGTCACGCAACATTGGGGTCACAGTTCCAGCTACGGGGACCTTCTACACGTACATGAAGAGCCCTCATGGTCTATGGGTGACTATCGTGCGACAGAGTCAATTGTCCATGGCGAAGGTTAGAAGGGACGTCATGTCGCGCAGGGATTCAAAAATATGGATAACTGCAGATGGAAAATGGTCGCAGTCACGAGAAGGTGAATGGTGCACAGTTTCGTTCATGGATAGAGAGACACGTGAAGTCCTCCATCTCATCGACGACAATGGAGAAGGTGGCGTTTGCGCAAGGGATGCGCGAGTTGGCAGCTTTTGGTTTTAGGGTGGACGGAGTGATAGCTGATGGAGGAAGCAGTTTCAAGACAGCACTGGAGGAATTGGGGTTGGAGCATCAGCAGAACGTGTGGCATATGGCGCGGTCACTCATGAAAGCATTATTGAAGGAGTTGGTGGATAGTCGTAAGAACGACTCGATGACTGTTGAGGATGCAACTACCATAGAGGACCTATGGCATATCAAGAAGGTAAACTTATTGAGCTGGCTAGAGAAGAAGGGGAAGAAAGGGCGACTGACAGTGTCATCCACCAGAGAAGCACTTGTGAAGGCGGTGTGCTCGAACCTTGACGGTATTGAGTTTAGGACCATTGATCCATCGGAGGCGTCATTCAAACACTCGGAGCTGCGGCAAGTGGTTGTGCGGATGGCCGGGGCAGCTACGGGGATAGACCATATTGTTGCTGCTATTTGTACGCTTGATGGTTCCACGTTGGCAGCGGATGAGGGAGATACAACAGCTGACAGAGAATGGGTAGTTTTTTATGACGTGGGCGAGATGTTCGGGTGGGATCCACACCCTGTGCACGGGATGCGTCCATCGTCCTACGCATCGTTGTTACTGGCACCGGAGGTTGCGGGACGATCCGACTCAGCGGCAGCAACATTGGACTCATGGAATGACATGACGGAGGAAGGTGAGATGCTCAACCCAAATCTTGGAGTTGTGCTTAGACCACCAAAACAAGCCACATTGTTTCACACAAAACCCCTACGGTTTGGGTATGAGTTCGTCTTTTTGTTCTTCTCCGTTTGGGAGATCCCAAACGTTTTGAATGTTCTCTAACAAAACTTTCACCTACATATTTGCCTATTCACCCCTGGATTCTGTGTAGAGGAGGCAGTGGCCACTCGTACAGAGATTGAGGAGGTAAGAGCACATGGCTGGTGGAATGATAGGGGCGAGGGCGAGGGTCCTAGCGCAAATATTCCAAAGAGCGTTCCTATTCAGACGGGTGTCACGGCCAAAAGAACGCGGCGCAGCAAGCCGGTTGCGACACCATGTGCTGAAGGGGTAGTTGACACACTGGATGCATTGGCAGACGTCGAAGAAGTGAGTTTTGCACAGCGGTTCAGCATCCATTTTCATCATGTGATGATGCGTTGTGCTACTCTTGCCAAGGAGGGCAGGCCAATGTCCCCAGAAGACGTCGCTGAAGAGCTTGCTCTATCCGCTGAGCATTGGGCCGGTAATCACGCTGGATGTGCATGCCATGGCATCGTGCCACTGTGCGTCGCTGATTCATGGGGTCCGGAAAGCGCTGTGTACGAGAGCGGTGGCACCACACATGTAGCTTTTAGGAAATGGTTACAGAAACATTGTAGCATTGAAAAGATGCGACCATTCGTGCTTGGGGCGTCCAGCTGGTTGAACGAGTCATTTCACTTGGTTGTCTGCAAACATGCACCGAAAAGGATATATTTTCGGGGGAGTATGGAAGCACGGGTGGCGCTCTCGATTCTTCATTGGAACAGCACCGTCGAGCGTCTAGTCCTGAGACATATTCTCCGGGTTCGCCGTGCAACTCGTGTGCGTCGTGGGAAGAAAGATCGCGTGCTCGGACCGATGAACTGGCAATGGACAAAAGACATTTTCACCGAGTGGCATCACGCATCCTCCATGCCACCTTGAAGCCATCTATTAATTTACTGGTAAATTGTGTGTGTGTGTGTGTGTGTGTGTGTGTGTGTGTGTGTGTGTGTGTGTGTGTGTTTTTTTTTTTTTTTTTTTTTTTTTTTTTTCGTACGAAGTGCATTGCACAATCGATTTTTTCTGTGTTGTTATTTTGACTCGTCCTTCATTCAACGGTGCATGCGAGATTTGACATGTGTTGTGTGACATGCATTATGTACCTATTTATTTCATGCAAGACCGAGCGACCCTTCATCGCGCAGACCGTTCATGCCGCCATGGAAACAACATCGGAGCCACCTACCTAATTAATGACGCATGAGGTACTGTTACACCACCCTAGAACAAACACCAGTACATTCTATGTTCCACCTGCTGCCCACCAGGCAGCTCGCTCGTACCCACCATCCTACCCACCATCCTACCCACCATCATACCCACCATCATACCCACCATCATACCCACCATCATACCCACCATCATACCCACCATCATACCCACCATCATACCCACCATCATACCCACCATCATACCCACCATCATACCCACCATCATACCCACCATCATACCCACCATCATACCCACCATCATACCCACCATCATACCCACCATCATACCCACCATCATACCCACCATCATACCCACCATCATACCCACCATCATACCCACCATCATACCCACCATCATACCCACCATCATACCCACCATCATACCCACCATCATACCCACCATCATACCCACCATCATACCCACCATCATACCCACCATCATACCCACCATCATACCCACCATCATACCCACCATCATACCCACCATCATACCCACCATCATACCCACCATCATACCCACCATCATACCCACCATCGTACCCACCATCGTACCCACCATCGTACCCACCATCGTACCCACCATCGTACCCACCATCGTACCCACCATCGTACCCACCATCGTACCCACCATCGTACCCACCATCGTACCCACCATCGTACCCACCATCGTACCCACCATCGTACCCACCATCGTACCCACCATCGTACCCACCATCGTACCCACCATCGTACCCACCATCGTACCCACCATCGTACCCACCATCGTACCCACCATCGTACCCACCATCGTACCCACCATCGTACCCACCATCGTACCCACCATCGTACCCACCATCGTACCCACCATCGTACCCACCATCGTACCCACCATCGTACCCACCATCATACCCACCATCATACCCACCATCATACCCACCATCATACCCACCATCATACCCACCATCATACCCACCATCATACCCACCATCATACCCACCATCATACCCACCATCATACCCACCATCATACCCACCATCATACCCACCATCATACCCACCATCATACCCACCATCATACCCACCATCATACCCACCATCATACCCACCATCATACCAACCATCATACCCACCATCATACCCACCATCATACCCACCATCATACCCACCATCATACCCACCATCATACCCACCATCATACCCACCATCATACCCACCATCATACCCACCATCATACCCACCATCATACCCACCATCATACCCACCATCATACCCACCATCATACCCACCATCATACCCACCATCATACCCACCATCATACCCACCATCATACCCACCATCATACCCACCATCATACCCACCATCATACCCACCATCATACCCACCATCATACCCACCATCATACCCACCATCATACCCACCATCATACCCACCATCATACCCACCATCATACCCACCGGCCTGCCCACCGGCCTGCCCACCGGCCTGCCCACCGGCCTACCCACCGGCCTACCCACCAGCATACCCACCAGCATACTGACCAACCCAGACATCTCCCCACGGTGACAACCCCCCTCCCACCCCCCCCACATCATCTGTCCTCCATGGCACGCTCCCCACCCCATCACATACCACCTGCACACCTAAGGCACTACCCACCTCTCCCACCTCTCACCCCCTTCGCATCAGTGTATTCCACACACACCGCTCTACACAGGTTGCCACCGATTGCAACCCGAAACCCATGAGCTGACACAACCTCCTGATACTTTCATTCCACCCCGGGTGTCTCACTCCCACACTTGCTAGGCCACCCCGAAATTCGGACATCGATAGAGTGGGTAGCATTCTTCAACGTCTCATGTGCATCCTGTACGGGGGTAGTTTCTGCCAGCCATCATCATGCCTTCGGTATTCTCCTCACTGTTGTTTATTGGTTTTCCCGCTAAACAGGCACGCTCGTCAAGTGTCCCAGATCTCACAGCGCTTCAAAACAGTCCGGCTTCAACCATCAATAATCGTATGTGCAGCGTGTCTATTCAGTGCTCTTAGATTGTGCTGCATGGTGCAAAACTTCATATACTCTCCAATGGCCTGATACACACTCATATATGGATCTTATTACAACAAGCACACAATTAGTTCAGCATGAACAACGTCAATCGCTCGCACCCTCACCAACCATCAATCTCGTAGTATATAACATCCGGTATCTCCCATTGACCAACCAAGTGCTCAACGTCCCTGGGATCGCAATGCTCGTAACAGCCATCACCACTTTCCGGATATAATGAGCTGATCACGACATATATCAGCCAAGGCATTTGCACCTGTGCAAAAGGGTGGTCACCGAGCAAGCGGGAGTATGTGACATAGCAGCGGAAGCGATGATTTTTTTGGCAGCAACGGTTGACCTGTGCAACTGTTGGGGGTATGGCCTCTGCAACACTCTCTTATAATATTCTCAACAGTCGCCCTCCCAGGGGATTGAGGTGGGGAGCACCGGGGATTGAGTTGGGGAGCATGGGGAAATGAGGTGTAGAGCATGGGGGAATGAGGTGCGGAGCAGGAGGGAATGTGGTGGGGGGTACGAGGGAATGAGGTGTAGAGCAGGAAGGATTGAGGTGGGGAGCATGGGGGATAGAGGTGGGGAGCATGGGGGATTGAGTTGGGGAGCAGGGGGGAATGAGTTGGAGAGCACGGGGGATTGGGTTGGGGAGCATGGAAGAAAGAGGGTTGAGCATGGGGGAATAAGGTGGGGAGCATGGGGGATTGAATTGGGGAGCAGGGGGGATTGAGTGGGGGAGCATGGGGGATTGAGTTGGGGAGCAGGGGGGATTGAGTTGGGGAGCAGGGGGGATTGAGTTGGGGAGCATGGGGGATTGAGTTGGGGAGCAGGGTGGATTGAGTTGGGGAGCAGGGGGGAATGAGTTGGGGAGCACGGGGGGTTGAGGTGGGGAGCATGGGGGATAGAGGTGGAGAGCAAGAGGGATTGAGTTGGGGAGCAGGGGGGATTGAGTTAGGGAGCAGGGGGGATTGAGTTGGGGAGCATGGGGATTGAGTTGGGGAGCAGGGGGTATTGAGTTGAGGAGCAGGGGGGAATGAGTTGGGGAGCAGGGGGGATTGAGATGGGGAGCATGGGGGATAGAGGTGGGGAGCAGGAGGGATTGAGTTGGGGAGCAGGGGGGATTGAGTTGGGGAGAAACTGCAAATGAGGTGCGGAGCAGGGGGGAATGAGGCGGGGAGCAGGGGAGAATGAGGCGCAGAGCAGGAGGGAATGAGGCGGGGAGCAGGGGAGAATGAGGCGGGGCGCAGGAGGAAATGAGGCGCGGAGCAGGAGGGAATGAGGCGGGGAGCAGGGGAAATTGACGTGGGGAGCATGGGGGAATGAGGTGGGGAGCAGGGGGGATTGAGGTGGGGAGCAGGGGGGATTGAGGTGGGGAGCAGGGGGGAATGAGGTGGGGGGCAGGGGGGATTGAGTTGGGGAGCATGGGGAAATGAGGTGTAGGGGGAGCAGGGGGGATTGAGTTGGGGAGCATGGGGAAATGAGGTGTAGGGGAAGCAGGGGGGATTGAATTGGGGAGCATGGGGACCTGGGCAGAAGTAGGGGGGAACAAGGGGGAAGCAAAGGGGGGACAGAGGGAAACAAGGTGGGGACCACGGGGAACTGAAGAGAGAACCGGGGGAAGCAATCTGGGGAGCAAGGGAAAGGGAGGAGGGAACAAATAGGAAGAAATGAGGGAAAGCAGTTGAGAATTATGGGAAAACGAGGGGAGAACAAGGTGAAGCAAGGCGTGGAACAGGGAGAAACTGGGGGAGGCATGGGGGGAAAGCATGGTTGGACACCCAAGGAAGCAAGGTGAGGCACAGAGGGAAGCAAGATGAGGCGTCGAGGTAAGCAAGGTGGGAGTCAGTGTGGAAGGTGCGATCTGAGAAAATGACGGCACGTGCATTGAAGGGGGATGTGTCGTGGGGACCTACTGCGAAACTCGTTGTGAAGTCGAGCGGGGCGGCAAATTGTGAGTCCGGTCGTGCGCCACTCTCTGCTGTAAAATCGGCATGCTCAAGGATTTCACTAGTAAGGTCGACATCCCGAAAAATTTTCACCCAAAAAGCTCCCCCCATCTTACCCACAGCGTACCACGGGGCCGGATACCCCGGGGTCCTTGTCTAGGTGACCTGCCGGTCACCCCGGCAACTTTCACTTCGCGTGGTGACCCCAAGGTTTCCCACAGGCTCTTTCTGTTTCTAACTTTCTGCTAGCGTTTCTCGACAAATTTGCAGTGTCACGGGGGGGGGGGGGGGGGGGGGGGGGGGAACTGCTATGCTGTGAGAGGCTAATCCGTTGTGACTGATGCAGTCTACAGCCGCCGCTGCCACAGCTGCCGCTGCCACAGCCACCGCTACAGCCGCTACAGCCGCCCCTACTGTCGCTGCAGCTGCCGCCACCGCTACAGCCATCACTGCCGCTACTGCAGCTCTTGCCGTAACTGCCGCCGCCGCAGCCACTGCAGCCGCAGACGTCACTGCCATTGCTGCTACTTGTTGATATAATCCGGAATCGTAGTGGACAGGATAAGTCTGCTAAGTTATAGGAAGACAATGAAGTCTTTGTATTGACCTTGATAATAATCGAAAGAGGCAAGATGATAAAAAGATAGAAGTACAAGGGTATAAATAACAATCTATCTAGCCATGTACTATGAGGGGTACATTCCCTTATTAATTGTTTTACATAGCTACAATAACCGTAACTATTGCCTTTCCCGACGACTACCATATTGCATCGCGTAACCTCTGATGTGGTCGCGTAACCTCTGATGCGGTTATGGGTCGGTCAACAGTCGCGACCGTTGACTAACAACGACTGTTGACCTTCGGGTGACTCTCGGGTTGCCGCATGCTCTACATGAGCTATTCCGGTACTGGTAGTGTTGCGCTGCTTCGTTATGAAGTGACGCGCTAGAGGAGAACCTTCGGGAATATTATAACAACCTTTCGGTTATTGCAACACTACTTGTGCGCTGCGCTGTTGCCGCTGCTGCCCGTGCGCTACTACTGCTTGTTAGAATCTAGCAGCAAGAATGAATGAACTATGAATGAGTTTGGTACAAGTACAAACCCTAACAGGGTTGTACCCTATATTGGCTAACCCATTACAGCCTGCACAACACAATATTCTAACACACCCCCATAGGCAAGGTGGGGGAGTACAAGCAGTCACAGAAAAGCAAAGCAAGCTCAGGGTGGATCACGAAGTCACCACACATTCCGAGCAAGCAAACCACCAAGCAAGCAAAGCAAGCAAGCAAGCAAGTGGGGGGTGATGCCCACCACCTAGCAAGTGTAAGCATGCAGGTATATATATATAGATCACACTACAAGCAAAGTCGCGCAGTGAGCAAGTGAGCAAATGTATGCACGAGACCTAAAGCAGTACAGAGACGTTGATGATCACCAGGCGGAAGTGCCTTGGTGAATATATCAACTGTGTTGGCCCGTGTAGCCACGTGAGCAAGACGAAGCTGACCACGCTGCTACAACTCTCGAGCAAGGAAGTAACGCAGAGCGATGTGCTTCGTTCTGTGCTCCAGTCTGTGCTCCTCACACAAGGCGATGGTGGATGGCCTTGTTGTCTACGTACAGAACTGGAGGAGAACTAGGCCGCTCTCCCAAGATTGTTAGCAGGTAGGTGAGCCAGCGTAACTTCTGTGCAGCCATGGCTCCTGCGTAGATCTCAGCCTCACAACTGGAGCTGAGAACAGAAGATGAGCGGGTAGACCGCCAAGAAACAGAGCCGGAACCAAGGCTGAACGTGTAACCCTGTGACGACCGCTGCGTAGCTAGGTCGTCAACCCAAGAGGCGTCTGAGTGTCCAGTGAGGACAACTCGACCCCGTCCTCCAAGCACCAGCCCCATGCCCGATGTACTGCACAAGTAGCGCAGCACCCTCTTAGCAGCCTCCCAGTGCTCTCGTCTGTGTCTCCCAGGCGCAACGTAGCGAGCCAGGATGCTAAGAGGGTACGCAAGGTCAGGTCGAGTGCAGATCATCAGGTACATGAGGCAGCCCACAAGCTCTGGATACGGGCCACTCGGCTCTACGGACTTGTCCGAAGGTGGAGCTGAGAGCGAGTGACCGGTAGGTAGAGGAGTGGACTGTGTTGAAGAGAACTGGAAGCCGAAGCGCTGAAGGATCTGCTGCACCATGTGTGACTAAGTCAGGGTGATGGTGCGCCGTGCTCTGTCCCGGGTGATCTGCAAGCCAAGATAGCTGCGCAGCTCACCCAGGTCTATGCACGTGTGTCTCTTCTGCAGCTCCGACTTCACAAGGGCCAGTGCCTCAGTGTCAGCAGTGGCAAAAACCAAGTCGTCAACGTACACGAGGATGTAGAACGACGGCAGCGAAGTGTCGGTGCGTAGAAACAGCGACGGGTCAGCAGTGGAAGGAGCAAACCCAAGAGCCGCAAGTGTCGTCCTCACTGTGTCGTGCCACTCACGAGGCGCCTGGCGGAGACCGTAGACTGGTCGCCGGAGGCTCCACTGGGTACCAGCA